TCAGTCACCCGGAACGCCCGCGCCAATCCCGGCCGCTTTCCATGGCCGCCAGCCGACTTTTCCGCCGCCGTTCCCACCTCTCCCGTGCCCGGCTCCCTCCCCCATCCTATAAAATGGAACCCCCTCGCTCCGTTCTATCGTTTTAGCCCCTTCTCGAGCTCCCCGTGGCCGCACCACCTCTCCCCGCCTCCTCCTTCTCTTTCCTCGGTGCCGGCCACCCTCCAGCCGCCTGTGCCGCCTCGCCCATGCGGCGGCTGACGTCGCCATCGCCTTCCCCGGCACTGCGACGCCATCCTCCTCCCCGGCCTCCCCGTATCCTCGCCGGAAACTCACCGGATCGGTGTCCTCGTCGACATCCGGAGGCGTTGCCGCCACTGTACCGACCCAGCCGCCTGTGCCGCCTCGCCGGTGCGTCGGCTGTCGTCCTCGCCTCCTTTCCCGGCACCGCGGTGCCATCCTCTTCCCCGGCCAGGCCACAGCGTTGCCCGAATTTCGCCGGAACGCCGTCGCCCGCGCGGCCTCTCCCTCGGTCTCGCCGGCACCCACTCCGGTAGCCCCTGCCTCCGTGCCCGTGTGCCGGCCGACATCGCCGTCTCCTCCTCCGGCATCGCAACGGCAAGGTCGCCCTTGGCCTCGCCTCCCCGTCGGCTGAACCCCGCCAGTGTTCGTCGTCGTCGTCTCCATCCGACATCGTCGTCCCCTCCTCCGGTTGGTCGTTCCTCCTCGCCGGCTTGTCGTCTCGCTGCGCCGCCACCGTCATCGGCATCGCAGCGGCGTGTTCCATGCCGTCCTCGCATCCGTGCAGCTGCTGCCGGCTGCCCTCGTTGCCTCCCCTCCGCTGTTCATCGTCGTCGTCGTCCTCTCGCCGACCCGGTCATCATCGTGGCGTTCGTCCCTCCATCAAGCCGATCGCGTTCGCCGCTCGTGGTTCGTCAAGCGAGCCGCTGCAGCCCCGTCGTCGTCTTCGTCCTTGGCTCCGCATCGTCAAGCGTTGCGCCGGCCGCGTCTCGCCTTCATCCAAGGATCGTTGCCGAAGTCGTTCCCTCGCCGTTCGTCTCCGTCGTTCCCGAGCCGTCTCCGCCGCCCGTTCGCTGTCGTCGTTCCCATGCCTCGTCGCGTGGTGGTAAGGGTCCGTCCACCCGCTGCCCCGTCCTCGTCCTTTCGGTGTTGCCCCGTGCCCGTTGTGCGGTTGTCGACCTCGGTACCCGTGTACCGGTGTTGGTAGTCATTCGTGTGTGCGTGTGGTGACCGTGTTAGTGTGCCTACTCGGTAGCCGCGTGGTTTCCACGTGTGCAGTCCACGTGGTGTCTAGTGGAGTCTGTTTGTCGGCCACTCGCCTCGGTTGACACACGGGGTCCGCTTCCGTCGACTCGTGGACCGTCTCTGTGTACCCGGTCTACCGTGGTCCCTTAGGTTGACATGTGGGGTCCGCATGTCAACAGCGCAGCCTTCCTGTCTTTTCCAGGCTAGTGCTTACACATGTTTTATAGTTGTAAAGTCTAATTACAATAATCCGTAAATCTCCATGTAACAGCATTAAACTTCGGATGATCATATCTTGGTCATACGAGCTTCGAATCGACCTGTTCAAGTCTTTTAATGTTTGTTATAACCTAAAGAACCCTGTGCTTTCTTTTTATGTATTGTTATTGCTTCTTTATAGGGTTGTAGCTTTGCTTGTGTGCTTCGCGCAGCTTCTGTCGTTCCGGAGGTTCCCGAAGCGTGGTTCGCGGTCGTCGCCGAAGGTTCAGAAGGCCGTTCTCTCTGAGCAAGGCAAGTCACATCATCCTTGAGCATATTGAATCCCAGTTTATAAAATTATTTTGATTTAAATTATTGCACTACCGCTTTACTTAAATTCCCGCGTTATCACTGTTTTATTTAGCCATGCCTATTTATCTTTGTTATGACCTTATTATTATTGCTATTGTTATTACTACCTTGTTCACCCTAGGAAAATAAAACCCCAACTAGTGGACACTCTATTCATGGTTCCACTAGTATGAATATAGGTAGATGCTTCGCTGATTAATTAGGCAACACTAGGTGGTTTTATAACTTTAGACTTTGGGAGTTCTCATATCATTTGGACACTGTGGAATGGTTGGCTTGTGATGGAATTGAACACACACCTCCCCCCCTCTATTCAAAACTCCCAAAATGGTTTTAGCCTGGGCTCGAGGTGCATGGTTCTGCTAGTAGCACCTCGGCCACTATAAGGACCGGTCTTCGGGCCTCTGTTGCAAAGCACTACCGTACTAACCACATGTCTAATGGGTAAGGCTTAACTCGGTGCTCAGTCTAGTCCTGGCAAGAGTACACAGATGGAGATGGACGAAGTCGGGGCTCGATGGACATCTCTAGGGCAAATGAAGGCTACACGGGCTGCGGCTCGGTAGTCGAGATGTCATGGCACAGGGCCGGTGTCCTGCTGCAAGGGGCTCAATCTTACCTACCTATCTCGGGATTCCGGCCGTAGGCGAGGTTGAGTCGGTGCTTTTGTCACGGCTAGGATGGGTAAAGGGGTTATGTCACATTCTTTACGACGGGTTCCACGGCCGTTAAATGCAGAGTAAAGATGTGTCTTGTGGGTAAAGATGTATACCTCTGATCGGAGTAAATCTATTCGAATAGCCGTGCCCTCGGATATGGGCAAGCCTAGCAATGTACCCAAGTTAGTGGTTTAATTCTTAAAACTTGCTTAACAACTAAAATGTTGAATGGTTGGCCTGGGTTGGCTTGGGACGAGCTGGGACCCAGGTCGGGTTGCCAGTTCGGTCTGAATCATCGTAGGCTTTGGGTTAAGGCAGGTTCGTGTCGGTTCACGGCCTTGATTAATAATATTGTGTAGCTCTAGGATCGTATTTACAAAATAGCTTTGAGCAACTAAGTGTCTTTTAAATACTGTTTACTGCAAAACCTAACCCCTATATTATTATCCCCTTGTACCCCCTTGCATTAATCATGCATCTCTCGGTGTGGCTTGCTGAGTACTGTGGTTGTACTCATTCTTGCTCTGTCTTTCCCCCCTTCAGTAAGAGAAGCTTTGGAGGAGATATCTTAGGTGGAGTCCTGGCTTATACCCCAGTTGAGCGCCTGTGAAGATGATCCGTAGGCCCGCTAGTCCGTTGCTGTTTATTTTTTATTGTCAGGCCTGAAGTGCCTTTATAATAAGGTAAATATTATCGATATAATAAAGATGTGTCTTTTATATCATGTTTGTGTGGTGTACCCCGGCTTTTCCTGGGACGGGGATTAATACACTAGCGTTCGGGAAAATGCAAATTTTCTCGGTCGCGACAATATTCCAGTTGGGCTTTATTGCCTCCCCCCTCTGATGATGGGCTTTCTGATCAGGAGATTTTGGATGTTGTACCTTTGCAAGCCCAGCCATCAAGTCCAGAAGTCACCCCAGCAGTGCTTCAGATTCCTATGGCTCCTGTCAAAAAAAGGGATGGGAAGACTGTTCTGTATAATCCTGCTAGAAGACAAAGCTCTAGGCTTCTTAATGCCAACCAAGAGCTCAAATTTGATCAGCAAATGGGAATAGGAAAACCAAGGGGAAAGTCAGCTAAAAAACTGAAGGAGTTGGCAGGTATATTAAAATCCTTATCCTTGGTAGCAAAATTACTGAATCTGATTTCAATACTCTAGAAGATGATATAAACTCAGATTCTTCCCCTTCTGATTGTTCTTTATCTTTGTTGCAAAAGATGGGGGTGGATCTATGTGGCCTGAATCCTGAGGATGTGGCTGAATCAAGCTTAGGGGGAGAAACAAGGAAGAAGCTTCCCCGGCCAAATATGGATGATTAGGAATGAATAATGTTTCTATGCTCAGAGCAGGATCTTTTGTTTTCCAGTACTGTCAGACTGTGATCAGTGTTAGTTCCTTTTGTGTTTGCTGGAAACTTATTTTATATGGCTCTATGCAGGCTAATTTAGTTAGCTCTGTATCTATATGCACTCCTAAATGTTTTCATCATGAATAATGTGTTTAAATTCTGGAATGTGCTGTGCTGGAACATAAGAGGCATGAATGCTGATACAAAATTGTTGTCTTTGAGGCAAAAGATAGAGGAAAGTGGTTGTCAGGTTTTCTGTGTCCAAGAGACCAAAAAACAAAATTTCTCTTTGGCCGATATTAGGACTTTTGCTCCTAAGCACTTTGATGCGTTTGCTTTCTCGCCCTCAAGAGGTGCTTTGGGTGGAATATTAATGGTTTGGGCCTCTAAAGTGTTTTTGGGAACCCCAGGGGAAATAAATAGTTTTTCTGTTACAGTAAGCTTTGTTTCAAGGCAATCTTCAGAAGCTTGGGCCTTAACCTGCATATATGGCCCGTGTAGTGGCTCAGAACATACAGAGTTTGTTAGTTAGCTGAAAAATATCTCTTTTGGGTCAATGGAAAACATGATTTTTCTAGGAGATTTTAATTTCTACCGATCGGTTGAGGACAGAAATAAGCCGGGAGCCGACATGAATGATATATTCATTTTTAATGATGTAATTAGTTCTCTTGATCTGCTAGAAATCCCTTTAAAAGGGAGAAGTTTTACCTGGAGCAATATGCAGAACAGTCCTCTTCTGGAGCGGCTTGATTGGGTATTTACAAGTCCAGCTTGGACTTTGGTTTTCTCAAACACTACTGTCCACCCATTGACTAGAAATATATCAGATCATGTGCCATGTGTAGTTCAAATCGATACCAAGATTCCAAAATCTCCAATTTTCAGGTTTGAGAATTATTGGGTTGAAATGAAGGATTCTTTGAACTTGTTAGCAGAATATGGTCAGTAGACCCTGGGCCCTTGTCCATCCTTGAATGGAACTTCAGAGAAATTGTCAAAATACAGATCATAAACCTTCTTGAGTTTAAAAGGATTTATTGGAAAAAAAGATGCACGAATAGATGGATGTTATTGGGTGAGGAAAATACAAAATTCTTCCAAGCCATTGCTACGGAAAGATATAGATCGAACTCCATCTCTCAGGTTCAGGATCAGCATGGGCAAGTAGCCACTGGATACAATCACAAAGCAGATCTGTTTTTTCATAGTTTCGAAAACAGAATGGGGATTTCACTCTTGCCTCCAATGGACTTTGATCTGAGGGATCTCTTCCCTAATCCGGAAAACTTGGATTGTTTGGTGGATCAGTTCTACACTCAGGACATGGATAGCCTTATTAAGGTTATTCCATCAGACAAAGCACCTGGCCCAGATGGGTTTAATGGGTTTTTTCTTAAGAAATGTTGGCAAATCATATCACAGGACTTTTACAGGTTAGCAGCTCACTTTCATGCTTGCTATACTGATCTGCAGCCGCTAAACATCTCTTACATAACCTTAGTGCCAAAAAAGTCCTCTCCAGAAATAGTCAATGATTACAGGCCAATTTCAGTATGGGCATCAGTTTAAAGTTCATAAACAAATTGATGGCAGATAGGTTACAGAGTGTAATGCCCAAACTGGTCCATGAAAACCAATATGGTTTTATCAAAGGCAGAACGATTCAAGACTGCTTAGCATGGTCTTTTGAATATATTCATCAATGCCAACAGTCAAAGAGAGAAATTATATTGCTAAAGCTTGACTTTGAGAAAGCTTTTGATATAGAGCACTCCACCTTGATATCCATTATGAAATGCATGGGGTTTCCTGAAAAATGGCTACAGTGGATACAGATGATTTTTTCTTCGGCACATTCTTCAGTACTACTTAATGGGGTGCCTGGAAACTCTTTTAAATGCAAAAGGGGGGTTAGGCAAGGAGATCCACTCTCACCACTGCTTTTTGTTCTTGGTGCTGAATTGTTGCAGAGAATAGTTAACAAAGCTTGATCCTTAGGTCTGTTGACCAAGCCAATTAATGAACTTGATGAGAAGGGTTTCCTAGTAATACAATATGCTGATGACACATTAATTCTTCTCAAAGCTTCGCAGAGAGAGGTGTTCTGTTTCAAGGCATTGTTGAATTCTTTTGCACACTCTACTGGCCTCAAAGTGAATTACCATAAGTCCTGTCTTTACCCAATTAATTTATCTCATGAGAATGCAGTGCTTTTTGCTGGTCTGCTTGGGTGCACCATAGGCACAATGCCTTTTACTTATCTGGGTTTGCCCATAGGAACAACTAGACCAAGGGTAGTGGACTTTGCACCCTTGGTAGACAGGGTAGAAAGAAGATTAACAGCAAGCTCATAATTTCTGCCACTGGTGAAAGACTCACATTGATAAACTCAGTGCTTTCCTCAATCCCAACATACTACATGTGTTCTTTGCAGCTGACTGTTTCAGTGGTAAAAGCTATTGACACTGCAAGGAAAAATTGCCTTTGGAGGGGAAACAATCCAACTTCAACCAGAAGATCTCTAGCCTCTTGGGATCTAGTGTGCATACCAAAGGATAAAGGTGGACTAGGAGTTATCAATCTAAGGGTTCAGAATATAGCGCTTCTGCTTAAACATCTAGTCAAATTTTACAAAGGACATGATCTGCCATGGGTTCAACTGATATGGAATTCATATTATAACTCCAAAGTGCCACATTTAGTTTGGAATAAAGGATCCTTTTGGTGGAGGGATATAGTGGCTCTGACTGATGTTTTCAGGGGAATCTCAAGCTGCCGTATCAGGACTGGATCCTCAGTTCTTTTCTGGGATGACATTTGGAATGATAAGATAAGAAGCAATGCTTTTCCATCTTTATATATGGTTGCCTTAGATAAAACTCTCTCTGTTAAGCAAATGGGTTCTACTCCTCTTGAGGATTGTTTTTTACTGCCTCTGATCACTCAGGCTTATGGAGAATTCACTGTTTTAGAAGAGGAATGGTCTTCTCTCTCTTTGCAGAACGGCATTGGTCATGAATGGTCTTTCATCTAGAACTCTGACAAATACACAACTAATTTTATAAGCTCACATACTCAAATGTGCATGTGCCGAGGCCTTTTGTCTGGATCTGGAAAACGAAATGTGTAATGAAGATTAAGGTTTTTGCTTGGCTTTTATTCAGAGACAGACTTAACACAAGAGATATGCTGGATAGGCAACATTGTGCAAAGGAAAATGATGACCTCACTTATGAATTATGCCGGAATAATATTAGAGAGACAAGAGAACATCTTTTTTTCTTCTGCCCTTTCAGTCAACTTTGCTGGCAACATTTGGGATTACATGGAATCCTAACCTGGATTTTTTTCAGATGGTGGTTTTGGCTCGCATTCGGTTCAATCAGAGAGGTTTCTTGGAAGTTTTCTTCATTGCTGCTTGGCATATTTGGAAGCAAAGGAATGGGAAAATTTTTCGCAATGAGCTTCCCTCGTTCAGTTCTTGGAGGGCTTTTTTCAAAGCCGAGGTTCTTCTGCATTTGTGCAGAATGAAGGATCCACTAAAACAGACTGTTTCTGATTGGTTACAAACAGTGTGATACTTTGATCTTTTTTTGTTTTTATTATTCTGTAATTTGTAAATAACCTTTTCATTTTATAAAATTACACTGCGGGACAAAGTCCTGGCAGTATTTCCGGTCGAAAAAAAATAGTTGTTGTACTGATTAGTTCACCAATTCTCCTTGACCTTTGTCAACTGCACCTTCATACTCACAACAATTAATTCACATAGAAATTCCATTGAATATCTTGCAAACGAATGGAATTGTACATAATGACTTCTAGAGGGAGAGCATAATCACTAAATAAAGGAATCATTTTTTATTTGAGAGCAAGCATAGTGTACCTTGTTTGTGTGGATATATTTCCGCCCTGGTTAGTAAATATATAAGGAAATCAAATATTCACAATAGTTCGACATAGTCACAGTAACATCAAGAATGTTTTCTAGATATCGCATACCTTTTTTTATATGTGGCAATCGAAGTCACGCATATATCCCCCAATCAAATACACGATTAATTTAAGGGGTACATCAATTGGGATAGCTAGAAGCTGCAACGCAAATATGCAATAGGTTGACCAGACCATTGCAGTACTCCATGTTCAGACAATCCACCCTGACTGCATAGAAAGGAAGGAAAGAGGAACACATTAATGATCCTTCATCATACGTGAAAGGGAGTAACGTTGCTTCGGTCCAGGAACCCTTAATTGTAAACACATGAAAGAGCAATGTAAAATTGGATAAATATGACCACCAGTAAAGCTAACTGTCAAGCGACATTTTGTTTCAGCACAGATGTCCAGATACGAAAACTTAGGGTACTGTTAAATCAGAGAACACATTCCCCTATATAAATACAACCGGAACCTCCTGTATAGGACATGAATAAGCCAATATTTGAAATAAGGAGGGGCCAGCAAACCATTGACGCTGTAGCTGCCAGGCAAGAGATGATTACATCAAATAAAAGGATTATCTAGAAACCTAGCCAGCCTTCTAGAATTTTCAAGAATTATCTCATATTAGTGTGTAACAAACTAAGGAATCTGTTTGCAAAATAACATATTGATGTCCAAAGGCAGGACTGATCATACATTGATCCATTGACCCATATGCTCATACAAATGGTCACTAATATCCACTCTACAAAGTTATGCTAAACATTGGACACAACGAATCTTACGTGAGGACAAGCAAATGCAAAAAATACAGTATAGAAAAGGTATCCCAGAAATGATATTAGTAAATTCCGATAACACCTTAAGGCCAATGTGAGCGGAGAGCGGCTACATACCTTGATTGTGGTCAGAGTAATCAGCTTGCAAAGATGAACAGGAAGCTCCCATAATCCAAATAATATAAGAGAGTTCCTTGAATCAGAGCTGTACAATCAGCCAGATACTTTGAGTAACAAGTTGCAATTTGGCATTTAAATTAGCATATGATGGACATCATCTTTAGCACACTATTTGGCATCCAAATATGATCATCTAATAGTGAAAGCAATGGATCGACAAAGGGAAACAAGCTGAGTTAGGATTCTATACCAGATTAAACCACCCTGCCTAACCATTAACCAACCACCACTGCAAATCCTTCAGCAATAGAAAGACAGAGAGGTTGGGCAGAAACAGAAAGACGTACATCAGACGGGTAAGGGTCACCGTTCAGGCAGAGGGAGTCAAAATCGTGGGGCACAATGGAGTTGGGGTCGTCACGGAAGCCACAATCCTTGGTCTTACGGGGGCTTTCACCAGCTCACCGACCCCTGCGATGGTGAACAGAGGAGCGAGGTGAGCGCCGGCCTGGGAGCGGAGGGGCACGATGCGGTGGCGTGTGGCGGGGAGTCTCGAGGAGGTGCAGCAGCGAGTGAGGTGGTCCGGCGATGGAGGCGCGGCAGCGGCGGCGCTGGTCCAGCGGTGGACTGCGGCGGCAGCGAGGATTCAAGTAGAGAGAGGAGGAGCGAGGAGGCGGCGGGGATTGGCGCTGGTCCAGTGGTGCACTGCGGCAGCAGCGGGGATTCGAGCGGAGCGAGGAGGTGGCAGGATTCACGCGGAGGACTCATCGCGCGGGCGGAAAGAGCGGTGGAGAGGAATCGGTGGGATTGGTGGTGATTTCCTACAACGAGGAGGATCAATGGATGAGATCAGATGAGATGGCGGATGGACGATGGGATTAAGTAAGTTGATTTCACCTGTAGGATTGCAAGGAGACAACTCCTCCTTTTTATATTAGTATAGATGCATGCACACATGTATGATTGCATTTATGCTCAAGGTTAGGAAAGAAAAAGCTTTATTTGGTTCTCAAATTTTATTTATGCGATAGCTTAGGTTGGTCTCACCGAAGTTAAAACGGAAATTTTTGGCTCTCAAAATTGTAGAAGTTAGCTTATAACTATTTTGCCAAGAAATTTTAAGTCCTAACATTTCAGGTATGTGACACATACGCACATTAACATCTTATTACTCCATTGCGCTTTCGATTCATACATTACTTAAAATCACACCCCTTTCATAATGACAATTTTTTTTATTACAGCTGCAGGTTGAGACCACTGACAATACGGAAGGGGTAAACTCCACGCCATGGGCGCAGCCTAAGCGGTTTATCCAAAAGCCCGCACGATTTGTCTCACCGGTGGTTGTGGGTAACCCACAACCGACAACTCGCATTTCTGCCAGCATACAGCTCAGGGAATTCATGTTGAAAAACGTGGATCGTCTCAAAAGGTTGGGACACATTTCTCAACCCTTTTTTCCCGTGTTTGCTGTTAAAACATGTCCTCAAAGATATTTATTCATTCACGCTGATCGTCATTTAATTTCAATTTATGACAGCGTTAAACTTTTGGAGATTGACTCCTCGGTGGCATATGCTTCCGATGTGGTTGAGTCATTTTGTAACGGGAACTTGACCGAGGGGCTCTTCATAGACGCTTCCAGCTCTATGCTTTTCAAGGATGATATGACGATCAAACCAGACACCTTTGGAAAAAGAATATTCATCCCAACAAATTTATTGGTAACAAAAAGCATCTCCAATTTCTATTACTTCTTAACACACCCCTGCCTTTTTTGCCGCTTTCTTCCGTACCAGTTGAAGTTTATTTTTTGAACTCCAATCATTGTTGCACACATTGCAGTACCTATTGAACATCAACTTAATAAAGCATAACGGTGTCACACAACCGTTCTCAGCCGATGCTTTGGATAGTAGATTAGAAGAATTCATCCGGCAGATAAACACATCCAATGCTCAGCTGGTAAGCACTCAACAGTATAGTTCACATAGCAATTATATTCCCCTGTGTATAAACCATTATTTCCTTTTCCCCAGGAATGTGCATGATACAAGTGTAATTGTGTGTAATTGTATTTTTTTTTTGCTAACTTCCGTTCCCTCCTATCAGATTATGGTCCATGTTTTCCACAATAGCCACTAGTCACTGCATGCAATCAACATTCCACATAAGCGGATCAACGTAATGGACTCAAACAATTACCCGCTAATTGGAACACTTGTAAGCGACCACCATGGTGCACTGTCAAAACGGATCGTGAAGCGGCTGAGTGATGCACTGCACAAGGTAGTACCAAAACGTTTTTGCAGGTTTGGTAGATTCAGGAAGAACATGATGAACTGTGCATGGATGGCCATCTGCTCTAACGACTGTGCCTTCTATGTAATGAAATATATGGAGGCTTACGACGGCAGCAGGGATCCCATCGAGACCCTCAACATCCCGGTAACACGCTATATACAATCTCATTCCCAATTAGCCACATAGTAACTACTCATTATTCACCATCTTTTCCAAATTTTTATCCATTTTGTACCACAGACCAACTCGACGATTGTCCCCTCAAGCATCCTGTTCCAGCTTGTATCCAGCGATCACAACTTAGCTGATCCACGCCATCCTGAGATGGCGGCGTTTCTCGGTCCTTCTGTTGGTGACGCCTCCGAACAAGCTTCATGATGTGCTCCTTATTATTTAGTTTTCATGGACAATTTCTTTTGTTTGTACATAAACTATGCTGGGAAGTTGGAAATTGAACTCATCATTTTGTTATGCCGGCAAAAATTCACCTGCCCCATGTCCTTCTTTTGACCCTTGCAATGATGTATGAGCTAAATTATAACTCAAGTTGCCGGAAGCTGCGTGAGTTAGTACGATTCTTTTAAAACCATCCAGTTAAAAATTAACGGACACTATCATCACGCCCATTCAAAATCTAAAGCACATTATAACAACATGAGCTAAGTTCTCTGTCTTGCATATCAAAATAATGTATCCTCAGCAAATTTTTAACTCACGTGGTAAACAAAAAGTGCCAGATGAAAGTGTTTTGGTGTGCATTCATGGATACGAGTTATTATTTAACTAAACTAAATTTAGTATCAGAATCCTATGTGCCCGTACCAAAACCATATCCCGTAGTCCCTAAGTCCTTAAGTATTGTGCATACTGCGCAACCTTTCAAATGACATAATAGTAAAAATAATACTCAACCGGTAAATAATAATTCTATAAGAGCAAAGTGAGCAACCAGTATACAAGGATACAAGTTAAAATTTAACTATGGTACATTAAAATTTCTGGACACCAAGTGTCGGCAACTCGGCATAAAGTTAAAAATTGACTAGCCACTCAACAATATCACGGCCTGGGTGTTGACAGCTTAGCGTTTTTAGTTAAAAAATAACTTACAACTCATCGTCCAACATCAGCGAGTACCCCCTTACTGTCATTACGGAAAAGAACGTAATCACAATTTTATCGCATCAACTCTCCATATCTTTTTTTTATATCCGCCGCGATTACTGGATGGGCCCCACGCTTTTTGATCCGAATCTATGCCCAACACATGCTACAGTCTCGCTAAGGGATGATGCTCCGTTCTTGAGAAAAACAATAATCGACTTCGAGTTACAATGAAAAGTTATTTTTTAACTTTGACGTGGCACCGCTGTTTAATACACCAGTCTGCTTAGTTAAAATTTAACTTCTACGAATCCCACACCGTGACCTGCATGCGAGTTATCAAGGGGAAAAACATACGTAGGATTTATCGGACTGGCCGATAGTTTTTAATTACTCCACTCCTAGATCCGAAACAAATGCCAAAACACCCTTAAACCACGCACAACTAAAATGTTAAGGCTAGCAAACTTCAAGTCAGTGTGAGGGCTCTACCCGAAAATAGACCACCATAGCTGCTTCATTGGAAGTCAATGGCGTCGCCGGAGGACACTGATGTCACACGATCTGCTCCACTGGTGACGCCGTGATCGTCATCGAGTTGTTATCCCCAGAGGCCAATTCGTCAAAGCGAAAGATCAGATCCAACGGAAATCCCGCATATTGAGCGCAGCTGATATGTGGCTACTAGGCGCGATCATCTCACATGCCATAAAAAATACTTCTTTTTTTTATGGCCCGTCATATAAAGATAGAATAGATATGGATAGAGAGACATTCTATTGAATCGCGAAATGGCTCGTCGATCCAAATGAATCATTCTTCTGGTCTCTCTCTGCCCCCCCTCCCCAAAACTGACCCACGACACTGCGCCCATTCGTTTCGTGCGCGGGGAGGCAATGAAGTTCTGTTCAAAGGACCGCAGCGGAGTGGAGCAGCCGCGACACGAAGTTCCTTACCTTAGCTGGATCTCGCTGGTGCCACCTAAACGGTAGGTATAGGCGGCAGATGTCTGACGTTTGGAGTTGTCGTTCGTGCACCTGTCCCCAATAGAAGAATGAGTGATCCCTTCCCCTGCGCTGCGGATCATGGCCTTACCACTAGGTCCCCGATGGCCAGCGGGGGATATTCGGTAAAGCAGCTCACGTTCGTTTGCGCTGCGCGTTCCCGCTGGACCGGACACGTGTTAGCTGTAGGAAATATGGTTACGAAAGTGACTTGGAAAAGAAAGACTATCCTCGAAGTAAATCAATCTATCTCGTATTGCCCAATCTGGATGCTAAAGGCTCGTCACCCCGGGAACTCGCAGCCCATCACAACTACTCATACTAGGAGCAATGGCCACTAGGAGGACTGAAACGAAGACTTCTATACAACAGGTAAGAAAATATTTCAACGGAAAGTCAATCCCTGCCAACCGTAATGACTTACTTCTTCCGTGAGCTTCTTCATGTTCGGTCGGTAGAAAAAGGCTTAAGAGCTAAATAGAGAAAGTAAGTTTGATTCTCCGGAGCCCGGATTTCCCCAATGTATGCATTTCCTTCAAAAAAGGATGGAAGTCCGTTCTACTACACTTTGTTCATGTGAACCAGGAGCAGGTTACTATTTTTGGAGCAACCTCTCTAGCAGAAACTAACAATCTTATTCAGAAGGAAAAGACCCGGCATAAACTATCAATAAAAGGTAGGGGTGCGCAATTAGGAAAAAACAAAAATAGAAAGGGTTGGGCCATAAGATCCTCTGCGAGGTATTTTTCCTTACGTAATACTCTAATTGCTTGCCTTATTTTCAACGTGATTTCATGGCTTTTTCGGTGGGAATTTCCCTATTATATACTAAAGGAGCGAGCTCTAGTTAGATACTTCTTTCTTTTTTTCCCGAGCTGATTGCAGTCTGTAAACCAACCGTCAATCTCCCACTTCACTTGTTGTGAAATAGATCAAGCCAAAACGAAGCATTGGCCCCGACCCCATTCTTGCTTAGATAAACTCCCTCTCCCTGCTGACTTGTTCTGAGATCTGGCAATGGTCCTAGAGCAGGTGGTGGTGAGTATGACTAATCGAGCTCCTCAATTGCCGAATTCTTGATTCAGTGGTGTATAATACGAGCTCCACTTTCAGGCAATGAGCTAGCTTAACCCTGATTGCTTAAGGTTTAATACAGTCATGTTGGATCTGCTACTAAGAAAGGAAGAGAAAGACTGATTGCGACAGCTCAACCGCTTATAATTTGGTATATTATGTGCTAATGAGTCATACATTAACTTACATACTTATAGCCCTATACAGTCCTTTTTATGGCTTTCGGTGTTCATGTCCCTTAACTCCACATTTTTGACATACTATGCATTTTTTTTAAAACCTATTGGGTGCTTGCGTTGCTCCACATATGGTACCCACTGAAGGGATGTCTTTCGCAACCTACGATGAAGCCTACAATTTCTACTAGAGATATGCTTACCACGCTAGTTTTGATATAAAGAAGAGTCGTTCGAGGAAAGCAATCCGTGAGGTTTGCTGTACCAGGGAGGGGAGGCACGTGTCGAAGGTTGCAGATTGTGATAGAGAGCGGTACAGATCATCAAAGAAGACAGGATGCAAGGCTTACGTGAAAGTGAGGCATAACTATGTCGATGGTGTGGTAACTTCTGTGGTGTTTGATGTGGTTGATCTTCAGCACAACCATCCTCTAACGCCGTCTCCATCTACGGTAAAGCACATGCGCGCGCATAAGAACCATGATGACATGGTTATGCAATTCATGGACATGATGCAAGAGAGCCACGTGCCACAGAACTACATTATGGGAGTACTATCTGAGTTACATGGTGGCCAATATAAAATCCCTTTCACTACCAAGGACATAGAGAAATGTGAAATGAAATTCCATTCATTTTTTTTCTGTGTATGTTTGTATCGTTTTTTATTGTTTAATTTGATGGAATTATTGTAATGAACGCCGCTTGTTTCTTTTTATAAAATCTCTTCTGCAGGAAAGACGCTAATGTCCGGAAGGAAAATGCAGATGACACCAACAAGCTCTTGGAGTTTTTCAGCGAGTGCATGTTGCAAAACCCAAAATTTTACTGGGATGCTCAGCTCGACGAAGATGGGGTTCTGAAAAACTTGTTTTGGAGTCACGCAAGTAGCCAAGCTGAGTTTGCTGATTTTGGTGATGCGGCAACTTTCGACACAACTTACAAAACCAATAAATATGAAATGCCACTTGCAATGTTTGTGGGTGCGAACCACCATATGGAGAGCACACTATTTGGGTGTGCGTTGCTAAGAGATGAGAAGTTCAAAAAGTGCATGGCGAACTTTCCATCTCCTCGCTGCATTCTAACAGGCATGTATTCTCGATGTCATCTTCATTACTGGAAAATTAATGATTATCCTTGCTTCGTTGTCGTCTATGATTTTTGTTGGTGCATCACATTTGAGTTCATGTTTGTTTTCATCAGATCAAGATCCTGCTATGGCGATCATGGTTGGGAGGTGTTTCCCAGCGATTATTCATAGGCTTTGTTGTTGGCACATCCTTAACCGCCATTCCGACCCACTGAACGTTATTTTCGCAAGGAATGACAAGATTGAACCCGATATGATGTTGTGCATTAACCAAACTTATACTCCGTATGAGTTTGAAACATCATGGGATTAATTCATAAAGAGGTATGAGTTGGAAGGTTGCGCTACCATGCAAGCATTGTATGATTTAAGACATAAGTGGGTTCCATCTTTCTTCAAGGATGACTACTACGGTAGGATGACGTCAACGCAGCGGAGCGAGAGCGTTAACAGGCTGGTAAAGCATAAGTTCGTGGACCACCAAACGGCTCTTCACCGTTTTGCTCTAGGATGTTGGATGTCATCATTGACAGGAAGGAGAAGGAGGCGGCTGAGACAAGTGCGAGCTCGGTGAGTATTTATATTTTTACATCAAATTTTCTAAGCTCACAAACACAACCATCGTAAAATTGTTATCTGAGTTAAATTTTAACTTCTCTCCTAGACAGGGAATGCCAGTGTTGGTCGTGCGGTGGCCATTTGTTATACAAATATCAAGATTGTACACGAGAGCAGCGTTCAGATTGTTCGAGGAGGCATCGTAGGACAGCGCTGATTTCAGGATCACGCAAGACCTAGATGTCAACAACGGTTGGATTGTCTCGCCCACCAAGCGATCTGAGAAGCATGATTGGTGTCAAAAACAATTCAAGTTGGTAGCAGATGTCGACGCGGGGTTTTTTACATGCGAGTGTAAACAATGGGAGCATACAGGTATTTATTGTTTAAGCTATTCATGTGCCAGTTGCACGACTATACGTTATACCCTAGCTTTTCCTTTGGCACGATATATGCTTATA